GTGTGTGTGTGTGGTGGGGGGTAGGGTGTGATGTGGGAGGGTGGGGAGTGGTGTGTGGTGTGTGGGTGAGTGTGTAGAAGGGGAACTATTTAGAAAGAGGAGGTGGTCCAGCAGGAAAGGATAGTGGAAAGGTGAGTGTGACACAGCAGATCACACACACACACACACACACACACACACACACACACACACACACACACACTGAAGGCATGATGGGCATGACTTTGATCCTGTCATCTAGGAGTCAACCAGAGAATCATGAGTTGAAGGATGGCCTGGACTACTATAAAAAGTAAAAGTACAAAGATATCAAAGCGAAGCCTATTATTTTGTATAATTAATGCACGCTAATAATTGTTTTAAAGAGTGAAGGTTCCTCTAGTGCAGAGTAATACAGGGAAGGTAAGCCGCAGTCCAGCCATCCCTGCCTGTCATCCTCACAGCTCTGCCTTTGGTGCTGTGGTACTTGTGGCTCTTCCTTGGGTTCCCTTTGCCAGCTGCTCACATCCAGGGCCCTCCTCCATGACTGCTCTGCACAACCCTCTTCCTACCACCACCGCCCTCCCTGTCACATCCCGTGGTACTCTCCTCACCTCCGACTCTCAGCACGGTTTTTTGGTCAGGATTCTTACCTTTTCCTCTGTGCTTTATTGAGCAGTAAATCTTACATGTTTGGGATGAGAAGATAACTGTAAAGGGTAAAAATAACAACAGGCATAAAAATGAAAAAAACTATAAAACTGGGTTTGCATCGACATCGCTGTGGTTGTGGTCTATGCAGAGCTTTGGAATGTTCCCCGGAGGGCAGCTCCTTCTTGTCCTGACATCCCCATCCAGCCTTCCTCAAGGACAGCTTCTAGTAGCAAAGCAAAGAGGTTTTCCCATTGCATAACCACCAGCTGTAGGCCTCCAGGGCGTGCGTGTAGTTCTGCAGTAGAGCCCTTGCCTAGTACACATGAAACGCTGGTCCCATCCCCAGACCTGCAAAGAAGAAGAATTACTCCATATTTTAATTTATCCCCCTTTGGTATATCTTTAAAAAAAAAACCCTTTTGTTATAGTAAAAGCAACATTTGTATACTTTTAAAAATTAGAAAATCTAGCTAGAGCATGGAAAGGATGTGTGGGGAGATGGAGTGGGTGGTTAATGGGCACAGGGGTGCAGTTGGGTAGATAGCACTGATAACAATTAACTGCATATTTGGAATTAGCTACTGGGAAGGAGTTTTGAATGTTTTTAATATGAAGAAATGATATAGAGCTATATGTATGGTGATACATACCTATGTGACCCTAGCACTCTAGGAGCAGAGTGAGGAGGATTGCAAGTTCAAAGCTAGCCTGGACTACATAAGAATTCAAGGCCAGCCTAGTCTATATAGTAAAACTCTGTCTCAATTATAAAATAAAATGGGAAAAACAATGTATGCCTGAGGGTTTTGTTATGTTTGTTTTTTGGTTTGGTTTGGGTTTGGTTTTTTCTTTCTTTCTTTGGATCGTTCGGCCGGTCGGTCGGTCGTTTGTTTTGTTTTGTTTTTTGAGACAGGGTTTCTCTGTGTAGATTTGGTGCCTGTCCTGGATATCACTCCATAGACCAGGCTGGCCTGGAACTCACAGAGATCCGCCTGGCTCTGCCTCCTGAGTACTGAGATTAAAGGCGTGCACCGCCACCACCTAGTGCCTGAGGGTTTTTTTTTTTTTTTGATAATTTGCTAATTACACCGATAGGATCATCAGACATATTGAAATGCCTTATTGTACCCATAAATATGTGCAGTGTGTGTATCGGTGTGAAGCAGGTTTGTAAGGAGGGCCAGAGAGGGCTTGGCAGTGAAGAGCGCTGACTGCTTGTGTGGCTGGCTTTATGTCAGCTTGACGCTGGCTAGCGTCATTTTAGAACAGGGAGCCTCCGTCGAGAAAATGCCCCCTACCAAATCTGTGGCCTGTGGCGAAGCCCGTGGTAGGTTTGTTTGTTTGTTTGTTTGTTTGTTTGTTTTTATTGGTGATTGATGAGGGAAGGCCCAGCTCACTGGATGCTTCCACTCTAGGCTGGTAGTCCTGGGTGCTATAAGAAAGCCATGAGGAGCAGGCCAGTGAGCAACACTTACGGGCCTCTGCATCAGCTCCTGCCTCCAGGTTTCCGCCCTTAATTCTCTGGATGCCGGACTACAGGCTGTAAGATGAAATAAACCCTTTCCCCCGCAAGTCGGTCACGGTGTTCTACGGCAGCAGTAGAAGCCCGAAGACCTCGTTCTTGCAGAGAACCTGGCCTCAGTCCCCAGCACCCATGTCAAGCACCTGTGGCTCCAGTTCCAGGAGACCCAACAGCCTCTTCAGGCTTCCATAGGCACACCTGCACACATGTGGTACACACACATATGCTCAGGCGTACACATAAAGAAATCTGTAAAATGTGCTAATGAGGAAGTCTTTTTCTTATTTAGAAAATAATTACAAACAGGAATTTCCCCAGTTGTCCTTGACACAGCCCATGTGGTCCTCATCTCTTCCCCGGATGTAGTGACATTTTCTTATCCGTGGTCGTTAGTCGGCTTTCTGCCACTGTCACAGAATCCCTGAGATGTTCAGTGTAAGGAGGAAGGCTTATTTTAGCTCTGTTTTCAGAGGTCTCAGTCCATGGCCTCTCTGGGTCTGGAGTAAGGCCAGATATGTGTGGTGAAAGAAAGCCACTCAAGCCAAGATCAAGAGGAAGAGCCAGCCGCCCTGTGTCCCCTGAGGACACTCCTTCCTCAACTCCGCACCCATATCACTGCAGGCTGGGGACCGAGGCTTCAGTATTTGCCCTCTAGGGGGACAGTTACGGTCCAGAAGACAGCCCTGACTTCTGAGAGGGGTGGCTGCGGCGCAGCTGAGCATTCTACCTTCTGGATTTGTGTTGGCGGCATTTAGCGTGCTCCTTCATATTCATGTTGCTTGTAGGCTGGAACTCACACCTAATGGCACCACAAGTAAGATACGTGCTGGGATACATCATAGGTGGCACGTGTTTCCTACTGCACTGAATCAGGATGCAAATCATGCAGAGTTGCCCACGCCCCTGAGACTCCCGCTCTGCTTTCACAGGAAGTAATGCGCACCATGTTACCCTGATAACCCTGTGAGTCACTGTGGCTTCTGTGCATCTGCATTTGATCCAGACTTTTATTTGCCTTTTTCCTCTCTTATTAAGAGGAAAGCTATGTGTCTCCTTCAGCACATCACTGGGCATTCTTAAGTGTCTTACGTCTCTGTGTAGAAATGAACCCACCCAATTCTTCTCGTGGATGCACTCAAAGCCACGTACCCTGAGCACTGCTGGTTACAGTTCTTTCCTTGACTTGTCCACTGCCTTATCTTCTGCTGCTTTTAGTCATACTTTCAGACCAATGCCCTTTCTAAAAACATTCCAGGGGTTGCAGAGGTGGCCCAGTGGCTAAGAGTGTGTACTGCTCTTGTAGGACCTGAGTTCTCAGCACCCACATTGTGGCTCACAACCACCTGTAACTCCAACCTCTTGTGGTCCAATACCCTCTTCTGGTCTCCATAGGCAATGACATTTAAGTACACAAACCCACACACAGACATCCTAATTTAAAAAAAAATAATAAAAATAAATCTTAATATTTCAGATTTAAGCCACAGCGTAGTGTACTCACAAAGCCCATTTTCTTGTCATTTTTTCTTGAACAGCACACAGCAGCCACTCACTCTGCATTTCCTTTGTGTTGGGTAAACTAAGTCATCTGGAAATGACTGACTCTAAGTTTAGCAGGACATGTGGAGGCTGTGTGCCATTTGTGGATTTGGGTGTAACCGGGGTCCCAGAAGCAGTCACCTGTGAGTACTGAAGGATGGTAGTTCTGTTCTGACGTGGGTTAGGGCAGCTCATCTGAGGCTTCAAGGTGAGCAGTGTGGATGAGGCAACAGCTCCAAGCTTTACTCATGAGCCACACACAGCTCTGGCCAGGTGCCTGGCACTGCTCTTGGTGCTTCACATGCAAGGCTCTGCTGGGCGCACACACATTGGAGAGTTCAAGGCCAGCCTGGGCTACACAATGAGACCTTGTCTCCAACTCTAATTCTCACAGCATAGCGGGGTGCAGTGGGCCCCTCGTCTGTCTGGCCAGTGCTCATAGTGCCTTTCATGCCATGGACCATCTGAAGTAGCTTCTTCAGATGCATGGAGGCGGAAAATGAGCATCGGCTCCTTTTCCGTGCCTCTGACTGAGGGATGAGGCTGGAGCAGGGACGAGACCCGAGGCACATTCGGGCTGACCCATCACCAGGAGTTAGCTGTGAGGAATTGGGTTGCAGGAGACTCCTCAGGGTCCTCGGCGGACACGTCATCGCTGCCTCTCTCCTCGCCCTCCCCAGTCTCCTGATCTCTGCAGACCGGCCGTTTCCATGTTGTTCCTGCACACAGTGGGAAGACACACTGTCCCCTCTGTGTCTTGCTCCCCAGCTCTGTCTTGGTTAAAGGCCTGAGTCACATGGTGCCACCTGGGCTGCCCCAAGGGCTAGAGGTGGGCAGATCCAAGGGGTACCTTTAGCCAACGGGGCAGGTCCCTGGGATGCCAGCAGCACTCCTCAGTTAAGGCCCAACCCCTCTGCCCTGTAGATTCTATTCCCCTGCTGTGGATAAGGAAGCTGGGGCTCAAGCCAGCAGCTGCCGGCCACCATCCCTGCAGGCTGCCTGCCTGTGGCCTGCGCTAGGACAGAGGGCAGCTGCCCCCTTCCAACGCCAGGTTATTGTCTAGATAGCTCAGGATGCACATTGCTGTGGGTGTGGGCCACTCTGACCTAGCTCCCAGGAGTGTGGTTGGTCTCCTTGGGAAGGTCTAGGCCCTGCCAGGTCACTGACTGCCCCTTTCTTTCTCTGTAGCCGGGTGTTCAAGACGGACATGGAGCTAGAGGTTTTGCGCTACACAAATCGGATCTCCAGCGAGGCCCACCGTGAGGTGAGTTGGGCACCTGCTTGGGTTGGGCAGGACAGTGATGACCTTGCTAATTGCTGTGATCGAACACCTGACAAGGAGCGGCTTCGAGAAGGGGGGCTATATTCTGTCTCAGAATTCTGTCTCAGTCTGTCCTGGTGGTGTGCTGGGTCTCCATGGGGGTGGGTGACTCCATCTTAGCTCACCAAGAAGCAGAGAGACTGGGGTGGAAGTGAGGCTGGGCTGTAGCCCTCAATGCCAACTCAACAGCATCCTCTTCCTCCAGCTAGGCCTCCTCCTAAAGGTTCTACAGCCTTCTCCGGGCAGCACCACCCATGGGGAACATTTCACATCCAAACCTTCACAGACTGAGTCACAGTGGGTGGGGCGGGAGAACTGTAAGGAAGATAAAGGACCACGTGGCAGGCAGGAAGTTTCTCAGGAGAAATTCTCTCCTTCATGGTGGGTGCAGGGCAGGGATGGAGAGCCTCTGCTCCCTCTCTCCATCTTAAGGCACCTCCCTCCATGAAGGTAATGATCCCCGTCCTCGGGGACTGTCCCAACCAAATGGCCCTACTTCCAAGTCATCAGAGCTCTCCTCCCTGGTGTACTGGCACTTCCCAGCTCGTGTTAAAGCATCTCTTGTCTGTAACTATAATTCCAGCTCCTATCAGTGTTCTGTTGCTGTGAAGAGACTCCGTGACCACAGCAACTCTTATGAAAGAGTTTAATTGGGTGGCTAACGGTTTCAGAGCTTTAGTCCGTTGTCAGCAGGGTAGGGAGCATGGCGGCACACAGGCAGACATGGTGCTGGAGAAGCTGAGATTCTATGTCTGGATCCAGAGGTAGGCGGAAGAGAGAGACTCTGGGCCTGGCATGGGCTTCTATAACCTCAGAGCCCACCTCCAGTGACACGCTTCTCCAACAAGACCACACCTCCTAATCCTTTTAAATAGTGCCACTCCTTGGTGACCAGACATTCAAATCTACGAGCCTGTGGGGACCGTTCTTATACAAACCACCACACCACCATCCTTTTTTTCTTATTTTTAAAATTTAGATTATTATTTGTTTGTTTATCTGTACCTGGGTGCATTTGCATGTCTGTGGTGCATTTGCATGTCTGTCTGTCTGATCCGTGTGCATATGAGTGCAGTACCTTTGGAGGCCAGAAGAGGGCAGTGGATCCTTTGGTGCTGGGGTTATAGACGGGAGCTGCCCAGTGTGAGCGCTGAGATCCAAACTCCAGTCCTCATGAGTGAGCAGCAAGCACCCTTTAACCACTGAGCCATTTTCTTCTTTTCTTTTTGTTTTTAAAGACAGGGTCTTCCTATATATCCCAGAATGGCCTTGAGCTCACTACGCAGCCCAGGCCATCTCAAAATTATGACCCTTCCACTCCGCCTCCCAAGTGCTGGTCCTGCAGGTGTGCTTTACCAGTCTACCCAATCACCCGTTTTCCAGAAACACCTTCACGTGTGAAGGAAGCCAGTGTTTCAAAGCCACTCAGGTGCCTGGGGTATCCTGCTTGCTCAGGGACCATCCCGGCTTAGCCTAGGGACGACAAGGATGGCAGGAAGGCCATGCAATCTCTTGTCTCAGCTAATTTCTCTTTATAAAAATTAGGCAAAAGTAAACAAATAATGAATAATAAAACCCCCTCCTAATATTCAGGATTTGCCAAACATCTTAGTCAGATCTTTTGTCTTTAGGGTGCTGGCCACCCGCAAGCTGTAGTGTGTTGTTTATCGGCTTCCAGATAAAAGTGCTCCACAATGGTTTAAATAAACTCTGTGGGTCTCGGAGCTGTTAAAAGGTCTAATTTGTCACTTTGCTGCACCACTGTGCATGGATCGCCCCTCCTTTTTTTTTTTTTCTTTTAAAGAGGAGCTTTTGGAAAAGTGTTATACATTATTTATAAGACCGCGTTAGTTATCTGCTTAATACAAATGTCTTTGCTTAATACCCATGCTCTAGGTAATGAAGGCTATAAAAGTGGGAATGAAAGAATACGAGATGGAAAGGTAAGCTGTGTCTCTCTGCATAAAGATTAAAATGTAAAAAAACCCAACCATCTATGTCCCCAAGCAAGTGACAGCTGAGGGGTGGCGCACACTGCGTGCAGACCGAGTGGGATTATGGGCGGCACTGGGATCCCAGGCAGCGAATATGGTCCCTCTGGTGTGGCCGCCACCCTGGCTCCTGGCAGAGTGTTTGATGGTAATGGGCCTTGATAACTTTCCAGGCTGGTTTACTGTCCCATCATTCCGTGCTTGGACTTTGTTTCTGCAGTTTGTGGGGAAACTTTACCAAATAGCCATTATCGTGGCTCCAAAAGCCACTAGTAAAACAGCTTGCCCGCTTTTATGTGTAAACACCACCATTATGTCTGCTGTGCTCGGGTGACTGGGTCCAGGGATGGGTAAGTGGCTCATAAAGCACCCTGGAGAGCCCCATCTGCCTTCAGCACCAGTTAGACTTGCCACATGCAGGCTGGCATGCTCAGGTGCTTCCTGGGGGGTGGGGGGGGGCTTACTGCTACCCATGCTCAAGGAATCCCTTGACTCAGATCATACCCCCACCCTCCCAACCTGCATCCTGGGTCTCCCTCCAGTGACCACACCACTGGAAGCTCTGGGAAGGTGACATTGGGGAGGTGCATCACCCTACCCATCCCAGACTCCCTTTCCTACCTGAGCTTGTAAGCGCTTGGCAGCTGCCACCCCTTTTCCCATGTCCATAGCCCCAAGTCCACCATCAGGCCTGCTTTGTGCCAGGGGCGCTGATGTGTCTTCAAGGGCCCCTGTCTTGGAAGCTGGGCCCACAGTGTGCTGACGTGAGTGGGGTTGGACCTTTGAGATGGGACCCAGTGGGAGGCCCTTATGTCCCTGGCTCTGCTGTACTCAGAGGACTCAGTTCTTGAGAAAGCATTGTTATAAAAAAGAGCCCCCCTGACCACACCCAGATCTCTGGCTCCTTTGTTTGTTTGTTTGTTTGTTTGTTTGTTTGTTTGTTTGTTTGTTGAGACAAGATTTCCCTGTGTATCCCTGGTTGTTCTGGAACTGGCTCTGTAGACCAGGCTGGCCTCGAACTCACAGAGATCCACCTGTCTCTCCCTCTCAAATGCTGAAATTAGAGGCATGTGCCACCACCATCTGGCCCAATTTCTGGCTTCTTAGGAGGCCAAACTGGTGAGCCTGGTCTTGAACTTTTAGCTTCCAAAATTATAAGCCATACAAACTTCTTTTCTTTATAAAATAGCTTGTCTTGGGTCTTTTATTATAGTAACAGAGAAAGGACTACTGTGCTAGCCCATATCCCGTGGCCTTGCTGGCTGCATCCGTGTGAACAGCAGCACAGGCACAGGTAGGGTCAGCAGGGGCCAGCCTGGCACATCTTCTCACTGTGGGCTTGCAGGTGGAGGCCTTTCACAGAGTTTAACCCCGAAAGGGGAGTCGAGTCCTCTCTTCTTGCTCTGAAGGGCATGGAATTGTTAAAATGGCTTTCCTCAGCTGCTGTGATGTCCCAGGAGGGGGCATGTAACAGCTGTCCGTCAAAGCTGAGGCTCTGTCTCACCAAGGACACTGGGGAAGGGCGTGCACAGTCTCTCTGGTTTGCAGTCTGCACAGCATTCCCTCTCCCCACACAGGGATCTGAGGGGGAAGAGAGCTATAGGGCTGGCCCAGGGAGGCAGGAGTGATGAGTCTCTCAGACTGGCACTGCCCCAGAAACCTGTTCTCAGTTGAGTTGACTCATAGTGACCCATAACAGATGCCTCAAATAAAAATAACCAAGAAATCGGAGCAAGAATAGCTCACCTGTGTGTGGGCCTTCGCAGTCTATGCCTGCAGCCAGCTGTGCCCCGGGCTGTCGGGGGTCGGCTCTGGAAGGGACCCCTGACCCTGCTGCAGCTCATAGGCTGAGCTACATGGGCTTTGGGTCTGCGACAAGGAATGTCTTGGCTGTTGTTTTTCAGAAATCTAAAGGACTTATAATAGCAGAATGAGCCCCCAGGCCCTCATCCATTGTTTAGTTTTGTGTTTGTGTTTTGGTTTGCTGGCGTATGTGAACAGTCCAGACATCATGTTGTTTCCCATGTAAATATTTCAGGAGATGTCTCAGTCAGTGAGACTTTTCCCTTCCTATAACCTGCCATTACCTCATCTAACCATATTGACAGTTTAAACAGCTTTCTGTACCTGAGCATCCCACATCACAGATTCAGCCAGCTGTGGCTGGTGCAAACTTTTTTCTTTTAACTTGAATCAGTAAGTGAACATGCGTCGACCTTGACTATCATTTTCCTCTAGGCCACACAGGGTGACAACTGTTGACATAGGGTTAGGTTAGGCCTTATAAATAACCTCCAGTTGATGTGAAGTGTCGGGGGAGAATGTTTGGGTACGAGGGATTTGGGCCCTGGGGAGGCTGGTTGGTATCCACAGGGTTAGAGTCAGCCCCCTTCTTCTGCCGAAGACTGACTGTTTGGTTATTTGATGTATTATATGTGTGAGGGCACATGCATGCCTATGGAGGTAAGAAGATAATCTCTTCTGACCCTTGATTCCCAGGGATCCACCTGATGTGGGTCCTCTGGGAGATGAGTAAATGCTTTTGACGCCTGAGCCCTCCCTCCAGGTCCCTGACTGTAATCTTAGTATTGTCATTTGCATTGATGTAAACCTGTCTTTTTTTCTTTTTGGATTTGTTTTCCTTAAGCCAAGATTCAAACACAGGCTGTGCATTGCCCTAGGCTGTTGGGAATTCTTTTGGAGTTGAGCCCAGGGAGAGCTTGCAGGCTCCCTTTCCTTGGTGACTAGATCCCCGAGTTATGGACAGCCTGAAGCTTAGCTGGCATAGTGGGAGGTGTCTGGCCAGGTGTACAGAGGGTACCAAGTGGACAGATTTCCATGATGGCCAGCTGGCTCTCTCATGTGTACAATGTGTCTCACATCCATCTGTGGCCCATAATAGAAGATCTAGACTTCTAGATTCTAGAGTAGTGGTTCTCAACCTATGGGTTGTGACCCCTTGGGGGGGGGGTCACATATCAGATATTTACATCACAACTCATAACATAGCAAAATTACAGTTATGAAGTAGCAGCAAAATAATTTTATGGTTGGGGGTCAGCACAGCATGAGAAACTGTATTAAAGGGTGGCAGCATTAGGAAGGTTGAGAAGCACTGATCTAGAGGAAAACAGTGTTTGTCTGTGGGCCTCAGCCAATGGGAGCACCTGATCATTGGGCCCCTGAGAGCTCAGCTAAAGGGGCTGGTGGGAATGGGCATGCCCAAGGGAAGAGTGGACGCAGCAGTAACAGGAATGAGCTGCAAAGTCTGCTCCTGAAGGTAGTGGGGAGATGCTTGTCTAAGGATGTCATCACATGAGGATGTCTGCCTAGATTTCAAGAAGGCACTCCTCTGCCCCGTGAAACACTCTTAGTCCCAAGCTCTCTTCTCACAGGCAGGCCTGTCTGTCACTGCCTGGGTCTCTTTCTGTTTCCATTGAACAGAAAGAGTGTGTGTCCATGAGAACCCGAAGATGCCTCAGGAGCCATGTGTCATCTTCCGGCACAGTAACTGGTGTCAGGAAACATGTCTGGGTTGTTTGGATGGATGGATGGATGGATGGATGGAAGGAAGGAAGAGAGAAGAAAAGGATCTGAGCTATTTTTCTACCACCCTGCATACCACTGGAGACTTCAGAATTACTTTCCTAAATTAGAAATCAAAGCGTTCCAAAGCAGGTGTTGTTGGCTACCCAGGGGACATGGCCCTTTTAACACAGGCTGGACTGCTGCCCAGGTAGATCAGGGCGGCCCAAGTGTTACGTGGGCAGTGGACTCATGGGGCCAAAGGAAGTAAGCTTCCTTTTTGTGTGAGCTGATGGTGCCCTGCACTCATGGTGGGCATCCCTCAAATCTGTGGGCCACACAGAGGGGCATGGGGATGGGGCAGGAAGACTCTAAGCCAGGACTGGAAGCTGGGGTAGTGGAGGGCAGCACCTGGACAAATAACTTCACAGACTCAGATGCCAGCTGGAGACCACATTCTAAGCCTTGTCTCCCCCTCCCCCTTTTTAATTATCAGAGATTTATTATACAATCTTGAGGGCATGTTGAAAAAAGTGTAAGCTAGCTGATGTCGTTTATGAAGACACCGCCTTCTCCTCTGTGCTGTGCCTGCCAGCAAGGAAGTGAAAATCATTTTCCAAAATTGAGGTGTAGTAAATTGTGTTAAACCAATAAGACGTTGATGTTTGGACAAATCGGCTCGCCCAGCATCCGACTCCAGGCCCAATCAGGCAGTCCGTTTTAGCACCTCGTATTATTTAATGTTAGTGGTGTAACCGGCTTGTAGCTGGCTGGCACAGGGCTGGCAGCTGAATCAATTACCTGCAAACCCTAATTTAGAGCATGCTCAATTGGCTGTGTAAGCAGGTCCCGGTTCACATTTACTACAAGGAGATTAATAACTTGATGGCATTGACAGCCTGGGACCTTAATTGGGATTGCTGTCTCCTCCACTCCAGCTGTGAAGGGGCCGTTTGGGGCCCTCTCCTAACAGCTGGGGGAGGGGTGATGTGAGGAACTTGAAAGACAGGTTGTGTGGGTATGACCATGTCCCCGTGGCCTCTCCCCCCCC